GGGGGGGCAGAGAGGCACCTGATCCAGCCTAAAAGGTCAGGGGGAGCTTCTTGGGGAAGGTGAAATCAGAGAAGACGATTCCTGAAGAATGAGTAGGATATACGGAAAGTCAAGAGCAAGGGGACTGTAGATGCAAAGGCTGCATGTGTTGGCGTGTATATTTGGGGACTGCGGGAAGCGGTGTGGAGTAGAGTATGAGGGACTAGTGAGGAGTTGAGGCAGGAGAGGTAGGCAGGGCCCCGTCTTTGATGGGCCTTGAATGCCACGCTGAGAATCGTGGTTTTTATGCTGAGGTCACCGGGGAGCCGTGGAGGGGTTTTGAGCAGAGGAGAGACAGGGTCAGAGTTGAGTATTAGAAACATCCTTCTAGGGCAGCCGTGGGCAAACTACGGCCCGCGGACTTTGAAATGAATAAAACTAAAAAAAAAAAAGACCGTACCCTTTTATGTAATGATGTTTACTTTGAATTTATATTAGTTCACACAAACACTGCATCCATGCTTTTGTTCCGGCCCTCCGGTCCAGTTTAAGAACCCATTGTGGGCCTTGAGTCAAAAAGTTTGCGCACTCTCCTTCTACTGGGAATTTTGGGGCATTAAAGCACTTGCTCAAGAACATAGGGCAATGCATAGTACAACTATATGAACCTGAACATGATGATTTATATGTTTGATCATTTATACATTTGATATTTGTGGGAGTAGGTGCGCAGTCAGGAGAGGATGAGTAGACAAGAACCACAAAAGGACTTAAACTAAAAGATCTCCACTTCTTTCATATAAATATTTGCACAATTAGAAATAATTTGCTTTCTCACATAGGAAGTTCGTCCTCCCACACACAAAAGTCCAGTGATGGGATGTCCGGGCCACAAAGGTAGTTCAGTCACCAGGAACCCAGACGCTTTCTCGTCTGTGACATATAACTTCCATTCTCAAGATTGCCTCACAGTCCACAGCAGCTGCCGGAGTCCCAGGCCTCGTGTCCAAGTTCCAGGAAGAGGGAGGGGAGCCCTGCGGGAGTGGCTCAGTCGGCTGAGCACTGTCCCATGCACCCAAAGGTTGCCAGTTCGATTCCCGGTCAGGGCACATACATGGGTTGTGAGTTTGATGCCCAGTCGGGGAGCATATCCGGTCAAGATTTCTCTCTCACATCAATGTTTCTCTCTCTCCCTTCCTCTCTCTAAGCATGTCTCCAGGTGAGGATTTTTTAAAAAAATATTTTTACTAATTTCAGAGAGGAAGGGAGAGGAAGAGAGAGATGGAAACATCAATGATGGGAGAATCATTGATCGGCTGCCTCCTGCACACCCCACACTGGGGATCGAGCACACAACCCGGGCATATGCCCTTGACTGGAATCAAACCCAGGACCTTCAGTCCGTAAACCGAGGCTCTACCCACTGAGCCAAACCAGCTAGGGCTCCGGGTGAGGAATTTTTTAAAAAATACACAAAAAACAAGGAAGGTGAAAAGAAGGGGCCCCTCTCATTTTGTAAGGGTTCTTTTTTCTGGGAATCCCATAAACCTTTCTACTTATATCACATTAGCCAGAACTTAGCCCTGTGACTATAGATCCTGAGACTGGAAAACGTGTCTTTGGCCCCAGAGGAAATGAGGGCCCTGTACTGAAGGGTGGAGCAGAGAGAATAGACAGGCGGCTGCTGGGTGGGCCAAGCCAGGCTCAGGGCCTTCATCAACCATCTGCCCTCTCCCCTGCCCCACAGGGAGCCCCGGAGATGAGCGCCACTCCCGAGGCTGCGGCAACCTCCCCGGCTGCCCAGGCCCCACCGGCTTTCACAACAACCACACCTTCCACTTCCTGCGGTGCTGCAACACCACCAAATGCAATGGGGGCCCAGGTAAGGGGAGGGGCCCAGCGTGGAGCTGGGATCTGGGAGGGAGGGGCACTCAAGGACATGGCCACCCTCTTGCGGGCACAGACCTCCTCTCTGGGTCTCTGTTTCTTCCTCTGGAAGGCAGACATAGCAAGTCCTTCCTCAAAGAAGGGTTTTGTGGGAATCCAATGAGTCTGTCCAACCTTCGCCAAGACCCACAGGGGACGCTGCCTACATGCTCTGCAGTCCTTCCACTGCTCACCACCCTGGTTTAAGCCACCGTGACCTCTCGCCTAGATTGTTGCCGTAACCTCCTCTCCGGTCCCCAATGTTCAGCACAGGAACAAGAGAGATTTTTTTTAATGTAAATAAGGTCTTGTCGCTCTCCTTCCTCAAGCACTTTAACGGGACCTTGCTCTGAGGATAAAACCAAAGGCCAGGCTATGCCCTATGTAATGCATCACACACACACACACACACACACACACACTCACACACACACACACACACACACTTTGCCTCCTGGTCTTTATTTAGTCCTGCACCTGCCAAACGCCGCCCTGCCTCAGGGCCTTTGCACACGCAGTGCCCTCCGCTGGGAACACGTCTCCCTGAGGAGTTCGCCTGACTGGCTAGTTCTCATTCCAGTCACAGCTTCAAAGTATCATCCTCAGTGAACGGTTCCTGCCCCTCCCCTTCCATACACTCTCAGCCCATCGTGTCACTCTGTGTGAAAAGCGCTGTCCGGCAGAACTTTCCACAGCGACGGGTGTCTTTTCCTGTGCATATGGTCGCCACTACCACAAATGACCATGCAGCATGGGACATGGGAACTGAATTTTGAATTTTATTTCATCATTGTTCATTCATTCCAATCAATGTAGATGCAACCGTGTGTGGCTAGCGACTACCGCAAGGACAGTGTCACTGTAAACTCTGAGTTCTGTGAGAGTAGGGACGGTTTGATCTTACTCAGATGCTTACCCAGAACCTGGTCAGACAGGGGCTGGGGGGGGGGGGCGGGGGGGTCCTGAGGGCTGGGATTTCTCCCTCCGGC